CAATCTTTCAGCCCTCCCAACACAGCGCCTTTTTTTCTGACCTGGCAACTCTGAAAGACAAAGCCAAGGGGCTGCAGCATCAACTTAATCAGAGAAAGGTTGAGCCCTGGGAAAATTCATTCTGTGGGTCCACAAGAAAAACAGCCAGGGTGGGATGGGATGGGATGGGATAATGGGATGGGATAATGGGATGGGAAACAAGGATCTGCTGAATTTGACAGCAGATCTTCGTGTCCCAGAATGTGGCTTGGGGCTGTTCTCTCATCCTGCCCCTCAGCTCTTCCACACAATTTAATTTGTGGAATAAAACTGGGGAGTTCACCTTCTGAATATATATCAGCCTTCTTCACCTTCTGAATAAATCCCAACCTTCTCCTCCGGCCAGCACTGGCTCCTGCTGATTTCAAGCCTTGTCCAGGTGTATTGATTCTTCCAGAAGTGAGAACACTGGCACATAAATTGCAAATTGGAGCCAAAGGGAAGTGGCTGCATTCAGAGCACATGGAATAAAGGAGATTTATTCCAAGGGAAAGGGGTGTTTATTCATGCCATGACCTCAGGCCCTGCACTGCTGCACTGCCCTGGAGAGGGGCTGCTGGTGACCTTGAGGCTTAGCATGGACAGCCAGCACTTAATAAGTGACTTCAGCAGAGGCAGAACAAATCCGAGGAAAATGCTCCAGGGACTGATCCTGTCCAGCCCCACAGAGCAAAATGAATACCCTCCCCCTCTGGCCAGGCTCACTCCTTCCTGGTGATTGTCATTGTTATTGGGTTTTCATGTGGCAATAAATGCTGTAATTACCAAAAGCCAAGTGCTGATTAACAGACTCCCTGCTCCGTGGCAGGGACACAGCCAGGCTGGGACAGGAGAGCTCCTTCCCAGGGATGCTGCTGGGCCCTGGGTCTGTCAAAATGAGACAGGAAATTTGGAAGAACAGTAAACTGCCACCACCTTTGCCAAAGTGAAATGACAGATATTAATGTCAAGTCTATTTAATGAGGGGTAATTAACCCATCCATCACAAGGCCATGGGATACACCAGTTGGAAATTTTCCAGTTAATGTTATTTGATGTTTCCACCTGATTTTCAGGAATTTAATTGATGTCTTAATTATGAAAGATACCTGTATTAACCCCATTCCCAAACAGTTCCTGTCACTGCTGGGATTTACAGAGGCTCGTGGCTCTCTCACTGCCATTCCCCACTGTGATCCTTTCTCCTTGCAGGCAGCTCCTGCCCATCCTGGCTGAGGCAGAGCTGGGCAAGTCGAGGTGAAGGTAATGCCTGGAGAGTTTCCTGGAGCAGAGGCTGGGCAGTGCTGAAGGAATAAAGCAGGGATTTATTCCAAGCCCTTCCAAGGATTCACCTTGGGCACTGCAAGAGCCCGGCCGTGGCTCCAGCCAAGATGGAGCCAAGATGGATCCGAGTCACGAGTTCTCACACTTG